TCTCTCTCTCTCTCTCTCTCTCTCTCTCTCTCTCTCTCTCTCTCACACACACACACACACACACACACTATATACACAAAGAGAGGGAGAGAATAAAAACATACTTTCCAGTCACTGCCATTTTAGTAATGTAGTTTTTTCCCTTGTTTTTCAAAAGATGTTTTTAAAATTAGCATTATAGTATTAGTTCTATTCCCATACAGTGCTATCATACTTTTAAGTGGCTTACTTGCTTGCTTGCTTTATTTATTCATTTAGAATATTTATATGCCGTCCTGTCACGAAGGCCTCAGGACAGCTTACATAAATAAATAAAAAATAATATAAAACATAATACACATGAATTTCAGATCCACCCTGGCTGCAGATTAAAAACATATATAAACCAATATTAAAAGTTATTAAAATATAATTATAGGAATATATGGCTGGTATTGAATGTTTTATATAAAACATAGTGTTTCTATTGTTATTATAGTATGTGTATGCATGTTTGTATAAACACTTTAATGCTGATTTAACAAATACTGCTTTCTGGCCATCACTATTAACGATGCAGCCAAAATGGCGGTGAATGGAAGGGTTCCCCACCACCAGCAGCACCACAGTTTGAGGTTGGCTGTTTATCTGCCTGTAACCCAGGGGCAAAGCAATCAGCTCGGCCCCAGAATGCCACTGCTGCATCCCTGTCGGAGCGCAAGTGGCCAAGGTGGGGGAAGGGGGCATTTTCCCACTACCAGAACATCCTGCACAGTATTCTTTGGTACAGTCAGATCATACAATCGGAGGAGAAGCCTGGAAGTAGCAGTAGCCTTTGCTGAGGAAACTCGCTCTACTAACCTCAGTTGACTTGAACTAGCTTGTGATTCCACAGTGCTAAAAGGAAGTGTTTTGCCCAGTCTCAAGGGCAGACCTGCTTTTTTCACATTTTCTAGGATCCAAGGAGGACTAGGGTTAAATCTGGAGTTAGCTATGACTTGCCTTTCTTTCCTCAACAGTGCCCCCATGCCCTACCTCATAGGAGTCCACACCAGCCTCATGGAGGTGAGTTTGCAAGTCCATCCGGCCCCTAGGAGAACTGGTTGGGTCTTGCATGTCCTGCAGCTGAGCCCTACATGCCGTGGCCCCTAAGGCAAAGGGGAGGCATCCCAGAATGACAGCATAATGATGATCGCAGCCAAGATGTTCTCTGAGTAGGCACATGGAGGGAAACAGTTCTGATCAACGCCAGCAGAGTATTGGTCACTAGAGCAGCAGCCATTTTAAGATCAGCCATAGTGCAAGTGGCATGGAGTTAAGTAGAATTCGTTTCATACTATCTAAAAATGATTGCAAGCACTAATATAACAATCAGGGCACTGAGGGAATAATGAGCACCAGGGCTAGTCCAAGATAGTTTGGTAACGGTGGCGGGGGTGGGAGATCAAATGGCACCATCTTTCTTCTGTGAAGAAGGGGCACACTCCCTTAGGAAATTCTCCTGCACAACCCTTGTGGAAAAATCATGTTGCTAGGCAAGAGTACATGTGAGGAATGCACAGGGAAATGTCCCAGCGGACCATGATCTCCCATATGGGAAGCCTTGGTAGAGGGAAGGTTGCCAGCTCTCTGGATTTGACTAGAAGGTCCTGGGTTGGAGCCTCCTTGGGTTTCCAAGAAGAGAAGGAATGAAATCTCAGGAGAAGGGGTCAGAACCAGCGGCCCATTGATTAGTTTCTGCTTGGCTTAAGAGGAGGCTTTCCAAGTTTCTCTGTTCCTGTGTTCATCAGTCTCTGTGCTCAGCTGCTTGGAGTAGCTTGTGTCCTCAGGTTGGCCCTTGAGGGCAACATAGTGGGGTTGGCACTTAGGGTGAAAAATGATGTATGGGAGGCTGGTTGGTGGGTGCTCACACTAGCACAGGGTCTTTCAGCACAATCAGTTTTTAAAATACTCTGATCTTTCTAATGGCAACCGTATTTCTGATATACTCTGAAATCAGAACCAAATACTCTGATTTAGCTCAGTCTGGTCACCGTGAGTGACATGCCTCAGGAAGCAATGATTGTGAGAGCACTCAAGAGTGCTCTAAATTTCTCAGTTCTTTCTCGCATATCTCTAGAGAGTGAGGAGCAAGGCCCTGGAAGATGTCGTCATTCTCAACATCGACAGCAACACGGTAGAATCGCCCTTTCAAGACCTGGAAAGCCTCCCAAGTGATATAGTTAGTATTGCTTCCAGAAGCCTTCCCCCACCTCCCCGCCGCTTTTTATTTGTTTGCTTGTCTTTAAACACTGCAAACACTGTACTTTGATATCATCCTGAAGATGAAACTCAAATAGTTTGGCCACCTAATGAGAAGGAAGGACTCCCTGGAGAAGAGCCTAATGTTGGGAACAATAGATGGCAAAAGAAGAAGGGGATGGCAGAGGTTGAGGTGGCTGGATGGAGTCACTGAAGCAGTCGGTGTGAGCTTAGGTGGACTCCAGGGGAGGACAGGAGGGCCTGGAGGAATGTTGTCCATGGGGTTGCGATGGGTCGGACACGACTTTGCGACTAACAACAATGGGGGGGGGGGTCACTTCCCTTCATTTTCATTTATTCTTTCTACTGACCCATCACAGCTGTGTTCTAGCAGGCTTTTTTTAAATATATGTGAATGTTCTCTCCGAGTACACATTTGCACTCAATCCTCTTTGTATCCATAATTTCACCTGGAAAATTGGGGGATTGGCCAACTTAAACTTTGCCAGTGTGTGAAATACTTTGCCAATGTGTAAAAATTGCAAAACGTTTTCTGCTGTGTTTTCATGGAGAGAGTCAAACTGTTAAATTTGATTTGGATCTGGCCCACTAATGAGCTACTCTGAGCTGGATCAGAGATATTTTGTAATAAACTCTTACAACTGATAGGCAATTCCTATACAATAATTTGAGAGAATGTATAATTTTGAATTTACTTTTTGCATGCATAATTATCACATCCTCCAGAACTCTGTTAGACACATTTGAATGCTGAAAGCATAGAATGACTTTCAATCTCCAAATAGTCTGTCCATAATTACTAAAACATCACAAACAGGAAATAGAGTTCAAGCTCCTTTAAATATTGTGTGTGGTCTTACCTGGCAGAGAAAAATAGCAACTATTATGCCCTTAGAGCGGTTTTGCCTAACCAGCGGCCTTCAGCAATGTAGATGCACCTTCCACTATTCCCAGCCAGTCAGGTTGAAGAAGGCCGCAGTACTCTGCTCAGTTACTTAGAGCCTCTTTCAGTGCACAATTCACTCCTCAAAGTGCAATGCTACAGCCTTCCAACATATTCCGGTGGGATCAGCTGGAGTCCTGCAACCTCAGTGCTGGAGCTGCAAGTCCCTGCCACCACCCTGGTGCTGAGCTGCAAGAGCCAAGCTAGAAGCTTGACACATCAGCCTCAGAAAGGGGGGAAGGGGCTTGCCGGAATTGGGGAAAGGAGGAGGCCTGGTTTGCACTGTGGTGCTCCAGCCTGCCTCCCTTCTGTGGCACTTCATCCACGTGGCCAAAAGCATCCAGCGAGGTGAAACACAGGGCACAAGGAAGATGGCTGTCACCATGCCTTGTGCATGCATCACGGGCAGAGGCAATGGGATCATGCCCTTAATAAGACGAGCAAGGCTAGTTTACGGCTAGTTTTGCCCATGACTTGGAGAATCTCTCCTGCTTTGTTACTAAAGGATGCATCTTTTGTCCCGCTCTTTTGCTGTATGGCATGCCTTCAAGCAGCCACTTGCTGGGTAACCTGTAGCAATGCAGAATTAGCAATGTATGAAGCTGTCTTCCAGTGAGTTAGGCCACAGGCCCATCTAGTTTAGGGCTTCCCTCTGTACAGCATTTCAGGAAGAAGTCATCCTGGCCCTGCCTGAAATGAAGCGTGAGATCTTCAGCATGCGAAACAGGTGTCCTACCTTTGAACCATGGCCTTTCCTCAGGAGAATTGCCTCTAAACTTTCCAGAAATCCCCTTCTCATCTTTGGACCTCAAATGACTAAGATTGTGTGTGTGTGTGATTGCATGCAGACAGGCTAGTAAAAATATTTTTGCCTGGTATCTTTGCAGGCATTTTTGCAAACAGTATGCTGAATGTTTGTCTAAAGCAGAGATGGGCAACTTGTGGTTCTCTAGAAGTTTTGGCCTAAAACTCCCATCGGACCTGGCCAGCAGAGCTGAGGGTGAGAAAGTATAGGTGCTGAAGACCAAATCTTATATAGGGCCACAAATTGCCCATCCTCTTCTAAGGGCATAATTTTTGTAAACATGAACTTTTGTAAGATTAGGTGCTTAAACAAAGCTTATCTTATTACAGTTCTCTGATTTCCATATTATCTCCATTACCCTTTGTGGGCTTTTAGGAGATACCCTCACTTTGTCAAGGTCCTCAGATGGTAGGCATGCCTTTCCCTTTCCCAACCTATTTATGTGGGGCAGGGGCAAGTGCTAGAAGTGCTACTTATGTGGGGCAGGGCCAAGTGCACTGTGGCCTAGCATCTGTTGGGATGGCAGCAGATCAGCAAAAGTCCCATGCTCCCATAGTGGCATAATTTTAATTTTCATTTTGCATGGCCTGCCTAAAATTATAGGGGGATATTCTGCTACTAAGGAGATATCATGCCATTAATGTTCAGGTGAGATTTGTGGCTATACATTGTGGTTGGGGAACATAGTTGTGACTGTGTGGGAAAGGCCCCTGGATTGAGGATTTGCTTGCATTCTCTCCTCACTCAGGTCTCTCTGCTGAAGTTCCAGCTGAAGAAGCAATCAGCATCTACAGGGGATGGCGTCGCCCAAGCCTTCCTCAGGGCACAGGCATTGCTGTTCGGCAGCTACCGCGAGGCACTTGTTTGCAACCCAGTAAGTAGTGGCTTGGCTCTCACTGGGCCATTCAAGGGACTCCTGGAAATTTCCTTTGTGGAGACTTTCTGGATGGAAAGGAGGGGAGGTTTGCTGGGACATAGCTGAGGAGAGGGGGAAATGCTGCCTTGGCCTGCTTTGTGTCTTTAACTGTAGATTAATGTGCAGAAATTTACCCTGAAGTTTTGCGTTGCATAAACAAAATCCAGCAGGACCCCCATATCTGCAGAGATAGGTTCCAAGCCCCCTAGCAGATGTCTAAAACCATGGATAGTAGTGAACACTGGGTGGTAGGGATGCAAGATCCCTGCAGAAGTGGAAAAATCACGAATCCCTCCAGAGTCATACTGGGGTCCTGCTGTAATGGCAAAACCACCTGCAAATACCTCTGGGCTTAAAACCACAGCTATCAATGTCCAGTTGAAAAGCTTATAGTCTTTGTAAGAAGTTTGTCTTTCGTCATTTTTGAGCCAAGTGTGTGGATTTCTTGTTTCAGTTACCTTTTTGATTGCAATTTATGTGAAAGAACAAGCATTAGGCAGAAGGCCTCAGTTCTAGGGCATTTGCTACATAAACAAGCCTTTAGGCTGGGGTAAGATTCATACTGCCCTTGTGGAGTGATCGAAGTAAGGCCCACCTTGTATTGCATGTGTGGAGAGAGGGCTGGCCTTCTCCTGAGGCAGCTGAATACCCTGCCTCAGGCACCAAAATGGAGGCAGGGGACTGTGCCCTCTCTCCTGCCCACCAGGAGGACCAGGTGCTGGGTTCTATCCCTTCCCTTCCCCTCCATGCCTCACCTCCTCACCCCCTCTGCTGCCACCCACTCTGTGGGCCCTTCTGGAGGAAGCCAACAGGTGGCTGAGCCCAGCCAGGGGCCATGGCAGCAGGGAAATCCCAGCAGCCAGCTCCGAGGGATCTCTTTGGAGCCAGGCACTGAGGTAAGAGGGGCTCCCTGGAGACTGCTTGTGCCACAGTCAATGGAAGGCTCCTCAGAGCCAGCCATTTTGGCCTGGCTGCTTCTCTGGGGAGTGGCCCGGAAGGCCCTGCAGGAGGCCACAGGAAGGGGGCAGGGAGGCCTGCAGGGGAGGACAGGAGGTGGCTGCTGGCACAGGATTTTCCCTGCCTCAGGTGGAGGAAGTGTTTGCACTATGCAGCGTGGCAATTGGCCTTTCAGTGAGAGATTGCCCTTTAAACCTGTAAACCAGCCAAGCAAAACTGGGAATACTGAATGTTCAGATTGTGGATATCACTTGGTGTCATGAACTCCCTCCCACCCACCATTCAATGTTACATTTAGCTCCATTAATAAATGTCTGTATTCATTTATTAAGCTTCTGTCCTGCCCACCCGTTAGCCAGAATGGTTATTTCAGGGGAGTATTAGTGTTGTTCTCTAGTGAAGGTCAGCTCTGCTTAAAATCTCCCCTCACTTCTCACTGCCACGGATAAATCAGGCAAGTAGAACATGTCTAAGGTGTGCCCCGAAAGGAAGACACTTCAGGACAGGTACATTACAATGTATTGAAGGTGTAGGGGAGCAAATCTTACAAGATGGACTCTTGATCAGATCAGGAATCCCACCTGAAGTCTAAAGCTGTTCCTACAGCATCAGACTTTTTGAAGTCATATTATGGCAGAGCTTTCACTCATTCTGTCCTGACAGGGACATGTGGACTGACAGTAAAATTTAAAAAATTGTCAGGATCACCTGCGTGCCATGCCATTGTTGTTTCGTGTAGTTTTGCCCAAAGTTTCATGATGAGGTAATTTTATCTATGAGGTACAAACGCCATCTAATTAAGTTCACAAATAGCACCTGGTTTCATGTTGCAGGTCAAATGGGACTGGCCAGCTTTGGTTGTCCTAATCCCTGTAGGCCTACAGCATATCAGATCCATCTCCCCCAGCAGTGGAAGCAGCACCAGAAGTCCATGGGCAAGAGGCAGAGCTCTTGCTTGTAATGCAGCAGTAACATGCTTCTTCAACCCCAAATGTTCTGTGCCTTCCATAACCTTACTCAATATTTTGATTTGGGACCTTTCCAGCACTTATTTTCCCTACAACGTTCTCTTATGAGCCTCTCCATTAGCACATAGGGGCTGCTTGATGCATCTTGGGATCTGTGGTCACGCTTGCCATGTCACCTTGCTTCTCTCTCTCTCTCTCTAACTGCAGGGTGAGCCCATCTCCTTTTGCCAAGACAGCTTCCTGCAACAGGGATCCAGTGCCATGCAGGCCTTTCTTCAGAGAGCTGTACACCTGCAGCTTTTCAAGGAGGTATGAACTAGCAGCAGGTCTTCAAACAAACAGCCCACTAGTGAAGGGAGCAACACAAGATCATGTGCAGTCCTGTTGCCCAGAAAGCAAGAACCTACACAAATCTGTGTGTGTGTGTGTGTGTGTGTGTATTTACACACATTCACAACACGCACACCTGCACCAGATCCAGCCATGCACCCTGGACCAGAGCACAGCATGGAGGGAGTGAGCACCTTCTTCGCTGATGCATTTTGACTTCTCCTTGCCTATGGAGTCTTTCATTCTCCCAAGCTACACTTCCCCGAACCCTCTTTACTCAAATTTCTCTGTAATATCACCATCCACGGGGCCTCCTGGTTCCACTGTAGTGGTTTTTTCTTGTTTGTTTTGCTCTCCTTCATCCTTAATGCTGGTCTGAAATAAATTCTAATGCATAAACTGTGTTCACTTATATTCCCCTCCTTTGAACATTGGCCCATCTCCCTCCAGCCCTGAACCCCTGTTCCAGATTATGTTGTTCTGTACAGCAGTTTTCCTCTACCTGGCACCCTTTCAATATATTGGATGCCTATCATCCCCAGCCTGTTAACAGTGAGTGCTAGGGATAATAGGATTTGTAGTCCAACATATCTGATGCTGCCTAAATTATGAGGCCCAATAATACAGAGCTGTTATGCTTCCTGCTGCTGTTTTCATTTATATGTCCTGCCTCTTTCTATTCTTCCAATATCTTATTAGAACAGTGTTTCTCATATATTTTGAATGTGGGGAGCTTTCCCTTCTAAATCTATCTTCCCTTCTGGGTCCCCAGCCCAGGACTGATGATCTGTCTCACTCATATGAGTGCACAGAGATCTTGATGGGGTTGTTGCTCCATGCAGTGCTCTGCAGATTGAGATACTAAGAACTGAATATCCTTTTGAAATTGGGACTAAAAACATGTACATTATAAGGAGAAAACATCAAATATTTCTGAGCTTCCTTCATCCCTAAGCCCTTTAGGATGATGAAGTGATGAAGGCACAGCCACATGTGTGAACCAACATGGATGCACGGATGGCTCTCAGCCAGGGTTATTTAACCCACCTGGATTTTGGCCAATGGGAGTCATGGAGGCTAAACCAGCTGCTGGACATTATCCTTGCAGCTTTAAAGTCCCCTTACATGCCCTTCTTAAAGCCTGCCTCACAATTTGAGAACCACTGTCCAGTCCCCACTAATTTTCATGTCTGTAAGCATGATGCATCAAATGGTTTCATTTTCCCTATGAGTTCATCCCTGGGCTGCTTATCCTAAATATGCTACCTTCTGTGGAAGATCTTCTAATGATCCCCCCTTTTTGTATCTCTCCTCAACATCATTGATCCTGTCAGTTCATCGATGACCGCCTGGAGAAGCTAAATGCTGGAGAAAATTTCTCTGACCTCTTTGAGGAGGAGATCAATAGAAGCCTGTCTCCAGGTAATGCAAAGCCCAGCTTGTTTTGTTCCTTTATTAGCTGGGGAAGTGGATGCATACAGCCTCTCAAGCCTCTGTACCAAGCCACAGCCCTCTGCCACATACCCTCCTTAGTACCTTTCTTCTTGTGGGCAACCTCAAATACTATGCTTCTCTAAAACAACCAAATAACACACACAGATTACTTACTACTGAGATTCTTAAAATGTTTCTATCCAAGGTTAGGTATTCTGCCATCATCTTCTGCATTTGACTTGGTTCTTGTTAATTCTCTGCACACCCATTCAGTTTTAACCACCCACTACTGTGTTCCTACAGTTGCCCTTGAAACACTCAAATTGGGCAATGTGTTATTGCTGGGCAGTCTCCGAGTAACCCTAACCCTCTCCCTCCAGTAAAACAAAAAACAGAGCAAAACAATAAACTTCAGGACATGAGCTCATGACTGACCTCCCATGGGACAAAAAAGCAGCTGGGTGTTTGAGATGTGGCTCTGGGTATGTAAAGCCAGAGCAACGTGTATGATGATGATGCGCATGTACATGTTGGTCTGTGTGTGCGCGCATGTGCACGCCCATGTGCGTGCCCATGTGTGTGCAGGGGGCGATAACAAGATGAAATGTGCAAGGTTACTTCAGGCCTTCAGTGGTAACCATATAGTTTGGATGAGAACTTCCAAAATTGCTAAATCCCAGGAACTGAAATAAACAGGAAAGCATCTGAACAAATTATAGCATAAGTGTCAGCTATGATCTGCAGGGGAGAGGGATTCTCAGCAAGAAAGCAGCGAATGGTGTCATTATCAGAGGGGAAAGCTAATGTGGGGGCAAAAGTAGAGGCTCCTGGTGCAACAATGCAGAGGAGGCTTCACAAGATGTTGCAATTTCCAGTTTCAAAGAAGAGTTGCATCCTGGCTGCCCTCCTCCTCCTCAGAACATTTAACCTTTAACCTTCATGTTAGGCAACCAGATGTATAAAGGTAAGTTTATGAATCTAGTCTTCACAGAAATCATTCTGCATTTTCTACACAAAAAGAAACAGTATTAGGAAAGACAGGCGAACACTATTCACTGGGTGTATGCCCACTGGGAATGTGTGCTTGGTTTTCCAGTACTTGTGTGTGAGTGTGTGTGTGTGTGTGCGCGCACACACACACACATGCACGTGCATGTACTAAATAGATCACACATGACAATCTAGACAAGTTTTATCATCACACTTTTTCCATACATGGAGGAGCTTTCTGTGTACCAAAAGTGTTCAAAACTGCCTTTTCTACCCAGTTTTTTGCAGGATAATACACAGGGCTGGCCAGTAGATAATGCTGCCCTGAATGTAGAATTCAAAGCTCAACTTCTGTAAGGACTGGAGCTGGGGCCCTGATGGAAACTCATCTGTACCCTCTTCCTCCCCAGGTAGCATGCACTCCTATCAGCAGTGGGTGGAGAATCTAAAGGTAAGCAGGCAAACCTGCATCTGGCAGGAGCTCTTCTTCCTCGCAGCTATTGCACTGTGATTACTCCCATTTTTGTAGGTGTGCTTACTCTGGTTCAACTACAGTATAGACGGGGGCTGTCGCAGAGCCACAATGCCTGCCTTGTGCTGAAGGACCAAGCCTGAGCACACTCTTTCAATTTATTCTCTAATAGACCAGCCCATTCTCTTGGGAATGGCACTCCCCAACATTCAAGAAGGCACTTTAGAACTAGTTCCCAATAATGCAAATATTGGGAACTAACATGCTGGAGGACCAGGCCGGGTTCTGGGCTGTTTCTTTTTTCTTTTATAATCTGGAGGGTCAGCAAATCCTGTTTTCATTGTCAAAATAAGAAATTAAAGGAGAACCTTCTTTACTTGCAGAAGGAAACTAAAGAGGGGATTTTCCAGTACTGGTTATGGCAGAGGCAGAACTTAACTTCTTGCTTCCATGGTTTAAATACAGCTCTGGCTCAGCCTGAAGAAAAGCAGTGGTGCTCTTGCATGGTTCTTACTCATTTCCAAAGGGCTTGTTCAGGAGAACTCGTGGAGGGCTGTGGGAGGCAATTTTAGTCCTGGCAATCAACAGGGCAGGACAAGATGAACGTGAGACTCCTAGATCCCCACTTCCATGCCAGCATGGATATAAGCTGATGCATCATAGTGACTCAGCTAAGAAGCAGCACGTCCCAAGTTTGAATTTGGCCTCTGCCACGAACAATTGAAGCAAGCAACTCTCAGCCTTTTTTTTTTTTCCCCCCCCCCCCCCCCCACTAGAGGCAGATCTGCAATTACTTCTGGATGTTCGAAGAATTACAAGATTATATATATGAAGTGAGAGATGAGAAGAGAGCAGGCTTACTGAAAGTCTAATGTTTTCCTCTTCTCACAACATTCTGTTTTCCTTGTGTGTCATGTCTTATTAGATGGAAAACATATGGACAGGGACTCTCTTGTTTTACCAATTGATTGTAGGCCACCCTGGGAACTTTTTTTGACTGAGGAATGGGATGAAAGTACTTTAAATAAATACATTTAACATATTTTTAAAATAATAGAAGTCCTTTATAAAACATTCATTATTATTCCAAACAAAAGTAGAAAGAATAACAACCTAGACAGTTTCTATGGACGTGGTGCAAATACTTACAAAGAAAGTTGCTTAATGTTGCAACACTGTGGCCACCAGGCAGTGCTGAAGGCTGTAGGATTTTTCAGCGTCCCAGTTCCAACCTCGGAAGCATTGGAGCTGAGACAACATGCTTGCAACACACCCACACCTATCTGCACGCTCCCCCACACAGCTGACATGACCGTGCTGACTGCTTCCCCGAAGTCACAAAGATGACCTTGGAGAAGGGGTTTCTTGGGCCTTCTGTGGGAGAAGGATGGGAAGTGCCCAGGACCACAGGAAATGCAGTGTCTTGGCAGTGCCTCTGCTTCCTGTCCGTTCCAAAGCACTGCACTTAGACAGCTGTCCAAGTGCTTTGCAGCATGGGCAGAATGCAGAGCAAACCTTCTTCTCCGTGCTTCTCCACGAGCGTAGGATGCCCATAATTCTCTGAGTTCAAAGGAGTATAAGCAATCCTTAGACTGCACTCTAAGGACCCTGCTGTTCAAGGCAGGGCATGGAGCCTAAGTGGACTGGATTAGCTTCCTTTCCATTAGCTGTTGCTCTTTTGTTCTTCCTTGGTATTCAGGCTCCTTCAGCTCATTCCATAAGTGACCAGCCTTCCCACTGAGTTTCTTCATGTATGTCTCTTTCAGCAGCTACAGTGGACTTGTAGTTTGCAGCTGCTTCCAGTTGGTGTATCTGTGTTGGTTTTTCTCTTTCTAGAAAGGTGGAGGAGCCCTGATAAGTACCATGAAGAACAAGGCCAATCCTGCTGTCAGGAATGCTTACCAATATGTAAGGCACTTGTGTGACTTTTCCCTTTTAAGCTAAATGTTTCCAAGATCAGTGCTCCACCATGTGGCAGTTTTCCTTCTTTGATCTGACAGTCCTAAGGAAGGGGGAGACAGCTGCTTTCCAAACATCAGCAGCTACAGAGAGGTGTGGGAGAAGTCTTCAGGGGCTGTAGAACTGAATGGTTAATCACATTTTTAAAAATACTGGGAATCCCTGAAGTTCCTTTGAGTGCTATGCTTCTTCTCACTTTATCTCCATGTTCTGTAGGCCAAAGGTCATGCCAAAATGCGGCTGAAGAATATGCGGAGCCGCCTGATGGAGAAGGTAAGAGACAATTCCTCAAACTTTTTTCTTAAAAACACTTTGAATTGTTATGAAGCTATTGGGGGTGGTGGGGGCAGGGGCAGGACATGAATGGACTGGATGCTTGCAGCCTTTTAGTATGCAGGGGGCAATCTGGTGCTTTCCAGATCTTTAGACTATAATTCCCATAGTCTCTAGCCAACAGGGCCAATGAGGAGTTATGGGAGGTGTAGTTCAAAATACATGGCAAACACGAGATTAAGAGCAAGTGTTGTGACATTTCTGAAATCAGATGCACTGAGCTTCTGAAAATATATGTTCTTGTTTAATAGTGGTGATTCAAGTGCCAGACTAGAAACAGAGATCAAGACTCAAATCCCTGCTCAGCCATGAAGACCATTGGTTGACCATGGGCAAGTCCCTCTCAGTCCACTCTGCCTCACAAATTGGTGGTGAGGACAGCATGCTGCTATGGATGCTGCCATAGGATCCTTGGAGGGAGGGAGGACAAGATAAAAACGCGATGCACAAATAGAGAACATTCACAAAAGGATGCAAAGAAGATCTGCTATTGCCGTTTATGTAAATCTGTCATACAGCTCCTTGTGCTTCAGTATATATGCATAGACATAACTATCTGTAAGGCTCTTTCCTTCATTTTATGGCTCTTTCTAAGCAAACGTCCTTCCTTGCCGTTCCCCCACACCCTCCCAAATCTTTTTTGATTGGTTTGCTGGTCATACCAGGAATTGTGCTCTAGATTTTGTAGGAGTAGATATCATCTTGCTTAACTTCCCCACTAACTGTGGGGCACGGGTGGGAGCAGCACTCTTGCTCCATTGGATTCTGGTCTGCTCTAGGACACCAGCTCAGATCAGCACCGAGAGCGGGAACATTCCTTGAACTGTGATCACACCTCCAGCTCCATCCTGCCCACCAGGAGCAGACAGTCTGAAAACCTGCAAAGCCGGTTGCCTATCACCCAACACTTTGGGAAGGTATTGGGGAAACTGAGATTTAGAATGGCATACAGGAAAATTTGAACCACTTTAGGGGGCATCTAAAGGGAAGAAGACTTCCCGGGAACGGGAGCTTTACTAGTGTGAATGGACATGTGTGGTGCTCACGTGGGCCATACGCAATGTGCAAATGCCTCCATCTGCAGTGGAGATCCATTTGCTTGAAGATCATGGGCCATTTGCATCAAAACTGCCTAAAGGAATGAGCAGAAACGTTGCATATAGAAATGATCTGGATGTTATGTGCGTCTGTCTTGTATGTGAATGTATATTTGCATGTGAGCACCGAGAAGCAAGTGTTGCAGGAATGGGGTGGGAATAAGTAAATGGGGCAGTGGATCCAAAACATAGGCCATATCATGTGCGGCCTTTTTGAAGTACACTTAATGGGACTTGCCTCCTAATGGTCATGCTTAGGACTGCAACTTTGTCCCTAACTCAGGGTAGAGGGAGGGGACATCTGTGAAACTTAGAACTTCAAATGAAATGTGTGGAGGTCCCTAGCCATCAAAATTCTAACTGTGGTGGGCTGCTGTCTTGTCCTGCTTGCCTAAACACAAAGAGCAACCCAGTAAGCATGAGACATGGGTTCCTATACGGACCATCAGTTGAGTTCCAGTGTGCAAACATCCCAAAGGAGAATCACAGACCAGAGTCAGCTCTCATTCTGTTAGCTCATTAGCCTTAGAGTGCTTGTATGTGCGTAAAGCATCAAGGTAAGTGCTTAATAAGTCCCAGGGGAGCTTCCAGAGAAGGCTTCCTATTGTGCTATTGCCCTGGCTTATTCACAAAATTTTGCCAGGGGCCAGTCCCAGCAACATCTTCTACTTGTAACTCTTTTGTTTTTCCACCCCTTCTGACTTTTTTCTTGTTGAGCATCTGCTAAGGAGAAAAGCCACACTAGCTGCACAGGGCCTTCTAGTCACAGCAATAGGGGCCCCCATTTGGAAGCACCTTTCCAGTTCAAGCCATCTTGTTAGGGATTCAAGACTAGTTGCATTTAACAATAAAGAAAATAACATGAACTCTAAGTTTTAACTAGTTGCTGAACTTGATACACAGGAGAGTGACTCAGTTGTCAGTGGCTCTGCTTATTCTTTGCAGCTTCTGCTCTGAGCTTCATAGGAGTTATCTGCAGTGGTGAACTTTATCCCTGAAATAGATTCATGAGCATGGAGCACCATGGATAGCTCCTTTGAAACTCTGCATAGAAGCTGCAATGGATAAGCAGCCGCCCTAACATACAGGTCACCAGGCTTTCCCATTGATTCAGATCCTAATAGTAATCCCAGGAACTTGCATCCTCTTCACACCAGGAACGTGGATTCTATCCCAGAGGGAAACATGAGGTTTGCCCAGGCAAAAGAAATCGAGATAAATGTACTCAGGACCATTCCATTTGCATGCTGTGTGTTCAGGAAATGACAGGGAGAGTCTGGTGGGTAGCAAGTTGCTGGCATAGGTAAAGCGAGGATTCAATTTGATAGAATTGTGTCTGGGTCAGCGCCTGCATTTGCACAGGAAAGCAATAATTAACACTGGCCTTTGCTCACAAAAGTAACTTGAAGAAGTGCATATGTGTGGAAATGACTTCCTTCCTTCCTGTCTTGAAACTCTATGTGGATTCAGACAAAATGCAGCCTACCTGGTCATTCACTTTGGAGACTGTGGACAAAGAGAATCTTTGATCAGAAATGTGTGCGCAGGACAGCGGGGGGGGGAGGTGTAGGATAGAAAGGGGGTGTTGTTACTGCTTTCTTCTCAGGATTACAGGTCCTTGGGGAGAGGGAGTGACCTAGCAGTGTTTGTTGGCAGTGAAAAGGCAGCTAGTGTCAAAAAGAGCAAAGGAAAACAGCTAATGCACAGGCAGCTTTAATGTCTGGGCAGCCTCTAGGTGAATTCATCTCTCCTTTCCTTGCATCCTCCACTTTCTCTCCCCCTTCCTCTGCTCCCTCCTTGCAACATTATCACACTGAGCAGAGCAAGGGCATGTGGCCCCTTAAAGATGTTGCACCAGGACAGTCGTCTCAGGCTCACACTCTTTCTTTACAGTCTCGCCCCAGGCGACCACAAAGGCAAAGAAGCAGGACAGAACTGGAAACTCAAGGGTAAGGCCTGCCAAGCACACAGGCAATGCCTGGGCTCCGTTTGCTGTTCTGGGCCCCAGTTCTGCTGCATAGTGGACTGGGTCTTGCATGAGAGTGGGAGGTGAAAAAACCCAAGCTAATTTGCATTGACTAGGCTCAGACAACACAATCTCCATACTGGAGGATTGAAGGTGGGTTCTCATTGAACTGTGGGTAGTTATCTAAATGTGTTGTTTGAACCCAGCTAAGCAACTAAGGTGAACTGCCCATAGTTCACAACCCAGCAACAAATGTTGGGTTCTCTCCAAAATTCCCTCTTCTTCTAGAAAGACACATGAGCCTACCCTCTTTTGCATCTATATGTTTTTATTTAAATAAAAAAAATTCAACCTAAAAAAAAAAATTCAACCTCTTTTGCATCTGAAGAACCTGGCCAACTTTTCTTTAAAACCCTGCGGATTCTACCCCACAGAGCTTTTGATTTTAAAGACCGCCTGCCTGGAGCAAACCCTTCTGCATTGAAGCTCATCGCAGATGAAGCTGTGATGGAGCAAATTTTGGAAGCCCTTCTGCACCTGTTGTGCAGGTGACTCATTAATTAATTGTGTCTGGCTCAGGTGTCAATTAAGGCAGTCCCTTACTCATCTAGTCAGTCTGAACCACTTGCACAATAACCCAGCTGGACATTTCCAAATTCAAAATGAGTGTGCTGTACAAAATGTACAGCGTTAAAGACCTTGCTGAGCCAGGCCACAAATATAGCAGGAAGGAGAAGGTTGTTCTCCTTGGGTCCTGCCTTGGCTACTGGCCTGCATATGGGTGGAGGCAGCTTATGTTACCATTTACGTGACAGCAAGGTGCTGTGCCAGCATGCTTACTTTCTATGCCATTTCTGTGGTTTTAACACTGTGATCTTATGCATGTCTCTTTAGAGGAAAGTACTATTGAATTTAAGTAGCTTGAATGTGATAGCTTGAATATGAATGCTCTCAAATGCCAGTGCTTTGTGTACAGAACTTTGTTCCAGATCCCATTTCACATCTGAAATATACACATTTTCCCAGGGGTGTCTCCATTTCCTCCAGCTCAATGTCACTGGATAGCTCCAGGGAGCCTGATGAGGGTGAAAATCTGCATCCAGGTTTCTTTAGCCCAGGTGACTTTGATCTCTTAGGAGAAATCTTTGAGACGTTAAACCTGTTGGAGCCAAGCCAAGCTGGACGGCCTCTGTATGGCACCCGCAGCCTGGATTTCTGCAACCTGGAGGAGGGGAACTTCTATACCAAGGTAAGCCTTCCTGATAAGTAAGCCTTCAGATAGCGGTGTGCCTGCGAAAGATGCTCAGGTGTAGATGTAATGATGCCGCTCAGATGGTGAGGAGCAGATGGTAACCCAGCTTCTCCTTGCCCATTACAGCTGAAGCCCAGCCGAGAAACCCTCTATGAATCCCTGCCTGAGGAACAGGATGATAGCGACTCCTTGTCTGGGGACGTGAAGTTCCCACCCTCCCTGGATCCAGAAAATGTGCAGAGTGCTCTATTGCTCTCCACCAAGGTAGCAGACGAATGCAGTGAGAGGTGGGAACATGGTGGGCCTGAGCCACAAGAGGCTCCTGGCACTCAGATGGCCGGAGTTTTTCTACAGGAGGAGAAGGGGCAAGAGGAGGGGGTCACTGCCTCTAATTATGGGTTGGCACGGGCAGCATGGATTCAGCCTGCAGACTATGAGGCTTCCCATCCTACTGCAAACAGAACACAGAGCAGCGCTGGTCCAAAGTCTGAACAGGATTCTGGGGCTGACCAGAGCGTTGAACCTCTGCCAGCCATCTCCAGCCCAAAGCCACCCAGCTGCTGCAGCAGCCAGTCCTCTGCACCGCTGTCCCAAACAGAAGTCAAGGTGGACACTGACATCAGGGCAAAGGAGGGCATCCCAGTCCTTGGGCAGGCCACCGAAATACAGTCCCCCGCAGCTTCCAGGTGCAGGGTATCAGAACTAAAGAAAAGATTCGAGACCTAGAAGATAATATTGAAAGCAGTGGCCATTCACCAGGAAGAGGAATACTGGAGCGGCAAGCTGCCGGGGACCCCATGGGGCTTTCTTCTGGAGCTGCGGGGCAGCTCTGGCCTTTGAAAAGCACCGATAGAATCTATCCTGGTACAAACTACACTTGTGAAAAGGGCTCTGTTAAGAGACTCAGAGGGAGTTTGCTTACTTCCTGTCCTTGTTGAGCCAGTAGGGCCACCCCCGCCACTAGGAGGCAGTTCAGGTATTCTGATCACTTTCCCTCAGCAAAAAGCTCCCTTCCTCTGCCAAACGCAGACGACTGCTTCTCATATAATTTTTCCACTCTGGGATCCAGAGGCATGTCTGGAAACAGTGTAATATAGGAATGAGTCGCTATCTCTGTGAGCTGGTTCACACATATGCAACTGTCATTTAACATCTACTCCTGAAATGACGGTGTGCATGTGTGAATGAGCCCCCAATGACCATAGATAATACCAAGCAATGTCACCTGAAACACATAATGTGGAGATACCTGTTCATGGAAATGTTTTTTACAGTTATCGAGAAGGATTAAATAAATTTATGAAAATGGACAGGTGTATCAATGGCTATTAGCTGTTAACTAAATGAAACCTCCAAGTTCAGAGGCCACTTGCCACTGTACAAGAGTTGCTGAGGAAGCAATACTGGATTGATATTATTCATATATTTGTTGATGTCTGACTTGTCATTCCTAAAACAAAATTCTGTATTAGATGTACCTTTGGTCTGGCCTGACAAGCTGATTCTTTATATACATGTAAACTTGGTTTGTTCAGCTGCTTGTTACCAAGTGTTGAGTAATCCAGCAAAATACATGCAGTCTGTGAACCAGCACTATGATTCCTGCACTAAGAAGCCTAGCAGTAACAAGAGAACAAGACTGGCTCTTACAAGCTGTAGCCACCTTCCCGACTGAATAAGCTTGCTCCCTCTGGAATAATACTGTAGCAAACAGCAGCCTGGAAGAGCCCCTTGGCTTTAGAATGCCACTGGAGGCTAGTCATGGCCCTGGGGATTGACTGGCCACAAAAGGATGTTTCTTGGCTGCTTCTGCGGATGCCACTGGATCTCTGCAACGCAGGGCTCAGGCGTGTGTGGCCCTCCCGCCATTGCTAGACTTCTGCTTCCCCCCTGCCTCATCACTGATTGCGCTGACTAGGAGTTATGGGAGTTGCAGGCCAAGGACATCTGCAAAGCTGCAGCTTCTCCACCCATGTGGAAGGGTCCTGACCTCACAGCTCCAACACAATTCACTGTTGCTTGCACATAGCCCTCTACAGTGGTGGGTATTGTAACAGGTTGCGGAAGAGGGCAGGCTTACAGTATGCTGAGATAACAGCCATGGCAAGGCTCGGCTCACCTCCAGCAGAGCCTCCCTCCCCTGAAGTCTTGGGTGGCTTCCAACTGGCAGTGAAAAGGGAAGGAGGGCAGATCAAACTACTTGTTGATGGGAGGAAACAGCTGGGAAGCCAGACCACTGACACAAGAGCCAGCGTGGGGGATAGTTAAGAAACTGGCAGTGCATACATTTGTAGAGCACAGGTTAGTAGTATGAGCTTCCCATAGATCTCTGCTTCCCAGCAGCCAAAGTGTTGACAGAAAGGCAGCAGTACAAAAAAAAGTTTATTTTACTAAATACTGGGAAAGCTTTTCAGTAACACCCCCACCCCCACAAAAAAAGGAACAAAAGACAGCATTTACCATGGCCAAGAGAAAGGGCCTTTCCTCCTGAGCTGCAAATGCCAACCAGGCATTCTCTTGACGGGAAGTTTTCCCTGCTGACACGTCACACAAAGGTATTGGCTTCTGGGGAGGAATGGCTGCAAGCAGCAGAGTGTGGTGAGTAAAGGATGTGGACCTGAATCACCGTGAAACCCACAGAACAAAGTGGTCTCACTGCAGGTATCAGAGTTACATGCTTTATTAACAAGGTAATCTGCCAGGTTTGATTGGGCAGAATGTCCTACCTGTCCAAGGAGGTGAACAAGTAATTAGACTGGGGTAGAAAGTGCATACAGAGAAGCATCTCAGCACTCCAGGTAAAAAGAGCAGGTTTCCAGGCTGTCTTTTCCTCCTGCCAAAACATGAACTAACCACAGTAATACCTCAGTTCACAAACGCTTCTGTTTGCAAACAATTCGGTTCATGAACAGAAAGTTCAGCAAAAATTTGCTTCCGTTCGTGAACTCCGCATTGGGTGATGAACATGATCGCGGCCATCTTCCCCACATGAACACAATCAGGGCCATCTTCCCCGCTCTGACATGTGGTTGCAGCTTCATCTAGTTGAAATCGCGGTCACAGACTCTCCCTCCAAACAATCTCCTCCCCACCCATCTTCCTGTCCTCCACGCCAGAAGTCGCCTCAAGCAAGGTTAGTGTTCTCTCTCTTCATACTGTACTGTACTTTGTTTCATATTTTTGTGGTTAAAAAAAAATACATGAGGTTCAGAATGGAGTAACCTTATTTACATTGAACCTTATGGGGAAATTTGACTCGGTTTGCGACCAATTCGGTTTGTGACCAGAATCGTGAAACGAATTAAGTTCATGAACCAAGGTACCACTGTATAACATAGGTTCACTCTGCCCAGATTTGCAAACTTACTGAAGAAGACTTGGAATGGAAAATGCTATGCTGCTGACCATTTCACAGGCAGACATGGGACCCTGATGCATATACGACCTGCATAACTTATTCATACTATGGACTGGATCCGAGAGTTGCCTTTCATGAAAGTCAGGTCCCTGCGCTCAGGGAACTGCCCCCTCTGCCAGAGAGCACAGCTCAACCCATTCAGCAGGGGGCTGGAGGAGCTGCTGCAGGAAGGAAGGCTGTTGAAGCCTACTTCCTCCAGTGCTGTTGATCCAGCTTAAAACTGAATCTAGCCCAAAACTATGGCATGTCCACCTAAAAACGTGTGACAAGTTCCTGGTCATTACAGTAACAAACGAGATGACACTGTATCTCATTGAGTTATGCGTGCTCTACCTCTATGCCAAGTGAAAAGTCAACAGGCTGTAAGATGAGTGTTAGTACCCACAGCCAGCTATTCAAGCTTATTACCTCTAGAAACTGCATGTCAACAACATTTGCACATGTGCCAGGCCCTTTTTAGTGCCTAATGTGAAAACATGCCAAAGGAATAACGTCAGGACCAAGAAAACCTAGAACAAAAAACCCCAAAAAACCAGTCTCTTACGAGTGCTGTGTGTGTCTTTCATGTGTCTTTTTTCTTGGAGGCAGACTGTTGAGCGTAACAGACAAGTAACCCAGCCCCGTTTCTCAAATCAAGAGACACAGGCCTACCCAAGTGGTAGGTTTTCCAGCAAGCTTAAAAGCTGCAGCTAAACAGATGTACAATATCCTTGGGAGTTCACCTGCACGAGCTCCATTCAACTATCAGGTACAGAAGAGTCATACGGTGTATTCATTGGATCTTCTATTGTCAGTATGAGAACATTTTAGGAAGGCCTTTATTCCACAAAAATCCATTAGTTTGCCCCACCCACACCCTTTAAGAACAGGATGAAGTGAGCAAAAGAGGTTAGAGAACAAGACCGTGCATCAGTGTTCCAACAGCCAGTTAAACTTCTGAAAGAAAAACAGTAGGTACGAGTATGTCTGCTCCTTGAGCCTAGATGTTATTCTGGGTCATTTGGCACTGAAAAAAAAAATAGTTGTTAAACAAAAATCCATTTTAAGCCTGGTGTTGTATGGTGTTGATTATGTCATTTGCATAGCTGTAAGGCCTAACTGAAAGGAGAGGAGAGCACTGGAAGTGGAAATTGAGCCAATAACCATCCATAATCGCAGAATCATAGAATAGTAGAGTTGGAAGGGGCCATCAGGCCCAACCCCCTGCTGTTGCAGGGCACCAGCTTACACTGTTTACACTATCCCACTCTACCTTCTGAATGGAGTCTACTAAGAGAACCAGGCCCACAGGTCACAGGGCAATTGCAATTTCCTACCTCTACCCCTTGCAAGAAAGCTACAGGTGTCTAGACAAGTTCCAATTAGGTTGCAGGAAACTGGTGGCACAAGAACAAGGAATGAGTAGAACTTCTTTTTTCTTTTTTTCACTTTTAAGTTCCATATTAGATTGCAAGTTTCATAACCTGCATGGACATTGTCACACATTTTCATATACGTTAAAATGCATTGTTTTGTATGCATTTTTAAAATATATACACTTTTGCAAATATACACACATTTAAAGCAGAATGACAGGTTTTCTGTTCATTTTTCCAAATAGTTTCATTTTATTATGTACATTAATGTTGCTATATTCAGGTCTGCTTTGCATGCTTTGCTTGACAACCCGTGAGTTGCTGAAACCCTAGGTAACTAGGAATAAGTGGGAACAGGCAAATCTGCTGGCTCATGCCTGGTCAGCCCCACTACAGCTTGAGGGAGCTGAACCCCATTCCTGGGTTGTCAGTCATGATGTCCCAACCAGGTCTTCTGAGACTTACTGTTTAAAAATGCAAATTTGTTGCTTGCACCCTTTAAAATGTATGCGTTTTATAAATGTTTTTTTATTGTTTTTGCAAAGTGCATCACAAAATTTGGAAGTGCAGGAATTTCCATGGCAAATTATTTGATGATTTGGAGTACAGATCTGATGGGTCTGCATTAAAATGTAGACCAAAGACATTTGTTACCAATCCCCAAAAAGAATTGTGCTGCCATCTAGTGCCAGCCTCAGACTAAGGCACTTGCCCATAATACAGGCCATCTGTGTTTCTTGCAGATTGATTTGGATAAGTGAACAGAGTAGGGGTAGGTAAAAAATTGGTTTGTTTCACATTTCAATGTGAACTTACCAAAGTCACACTTCCCAAGCCTAAACAGAAACTGCAACGCTGTTAGATGACTAAATTGATGCTTTTCCAAAGTCTGTGATGTAGTTACCAAAAAATCAAATACAAAATGTTCATTTGAAACAGTGTATATTTAAAATTATGCGCACAAAGAATGTGCATACTTGGAAACTACACAACAAAAACAGTTACTTCAATGGAAAATCACCTGCAAAACTGCATATATTTGAAAAAGTGTGTAAAACACACATACAAAATGCATATTTTGAAAAGAGTGAATGAAAATACATGTGGATTTTTATGCAGACTAAAAAACAAGTCACGATCCAATGTGGAACCAATGCTCCCTTCATAATGCCAGGTAGCACTACCTTGTCACATTGACTCCACCAGCAAAGGGAGATTTTATTTTTATTAAATAATGACATACTTAAAAGCACAGTGCAATTCCATGTAAAAAAATTAAAAGGTGACCCTGCCCCAGATCCTACATGGCAGGCTCCTTAAGATCCAGCCCATCCTTTGCCATTCAGGCAAAGCAGCAAATCCTGCCAGCTGTGCTGGCAATCCCATTCACACCCACCCACCCACCCACAAGGAGGAGAGTCCATCCTTTTGGACAGCACCAAGAGAAATGAAGCAGCCCTGGTCAGCTGGCACTGCATAAAAGGGAAGCCACCCTCTTTCTTCCGCATGCTCAGGGAGGCAAAAGAGGACCTGGCCCTGAACCGTCTGTCTGCAACCGTCACGGGCACAAGCCCCAGCCCCAAGGTGCCTCAAAGCCCTGCTTGCAGTGTTCGGGACCCCTCCCATTCACAGCCATTCACAGCCTGGTGGCCTGCAATGCTTAGTGGCAGGCTGGGAGCATCAAGCCTGATGGAAGCAGGTCCCTTTTTATTCCGCTTTTCAGTCTGTGGGGCAGACGCACTTCTTCCAAGCCAAGGCCACCTGAGCAGAGCCTTGCTCCCGTCTCAGATGAGTCGCTCTTCTGGGGGCAGCTTGAGGTTGACGTTTGTCTCCACCCGGGCACCGACCTGCTCCTCATTGCTGGGCCGGTAGGTGCCTTCTGTCTGGCGCTTCTCCCGAACTTTGAGTCCTATGAAAACCAAGAGGCCGATCAGCAGGAGACCCCCAATGACAGAAGGCACTGCTATGGCTGCAGCTAGCGCTGACCCCTGCCACAGGAAAAGAGAAACAGGGAGGACATGGTTAATGGCTGTTGAGCAACTGATGAAAAGATGGGGTGGGCTCTGACATGGGAAAAGCAGCTGCAGCCAGAGGCCTACAGACTGTCTGGGCGTGTGCAGCCCAGTCCAAACCACATGGCTTCATGGGAAACTGAAAATGTTAGTACTGAAACCAACTGCCTTGCTTGCAGGTTTGCTAAGTAAACTGTGGCCCATTAAGCGTCTGGTTGCCAAGTTTCTGCCTAATGCAATCTTTAGCCACAAGATCTCAAGCCTTCTGGTTGTTGGCTGTGAGCACTGGAGCTGCAGCTCAAAATCAGCTCTCCACTGCTGCCACACAGGCACCGCAGAGTGGAGGGAATGGGAGGGGCTGCAGCTGCCTCCTCCCACCTTTCTGCAGGACCATCATGCATGGGACTGTTCTTATTTTTAATGTTTTGTGGCTGTTGGGTTTTCTACCATGACATTATTTTAGTCACAGAATTTAAAAAGGATTCTTGAGCAGTAAACAAGATGCATAAAATAATATTTAACAAAATGTTTATATCCAGTTATGCCAATACAACTGGTGGTTGCTCATTCAAGAAACCTTGTTGAAATAAAAATGTCTTCAGCAGACACCGAAAACTAAACAAAGGAGGCATTTACCTGACTTTAGCTGGCATGGAATTCCAGAGAGAGCAAGCCGCCACATGGAAAGCTTTACCCAAAGATGACTCCAGATGGACCACAGATCCATGTGGAATGACCAAGAACGCCCCACTGGGTGGCCTTGGTGCTCTCAAGGCCAGCAGCTTGAGCATGGCAACATCCCATCAAACTACCTGAACAAGCAAAGGGTCCAATATGCCATTTTCCCTTTCGCCCACAAAAAGGTGGGTGGGATTGTCCTGGGATACACATAGCAGCTCATGTCAGTTAAATTCAGCCTATATCGCACATCCACCTGTATGGCTGATCTGTAATTCAGGCATTGTAAGAGAGACTTCCCACACCAAGCACACACCCCCAAAGAACCACACCCACACCAAAAGCATCCCTACAAGAGAGACATACCGAGAGGCCAGATGGGGAGGGCGACAGCGATGTGGGGTTCGCTGTGCTGTTCTTTAAGGAACCTTGATTGAGAGAGACAAAAACAGAGTTAGAAATACAGGGAGAAGGGGCTCACTTTCAGCTTGTTCATAGATCTGAAAGGGACCTTGGTGGGTACCCAGCCCAGCTCTCTGGTCAATGCAGAGTTGCTGCAATGCAACTGCAGCATCTCTAATGGGTGGGTGGGTGGCCACTCCTTAAATGCCTCCTGCAAAGGACAGTGCAACACTTTTGTCACAACTAAACACTAGATGCACACATAAATCTCAAAAGTGAAGCAGCTGTCAAATCAGCCCAGTATGTGGTGGTGGTCTTAATCAAGCTTGCAGGAATGGGGATGTGCCTATTTTGAAAAGGACCCCTTGAATCGTCAGATCTTCTCCTCCCGCACTGGCAGGACTGCTGGCAGGACTGCTAAGCCCAGTACTTTTGAGCCTTCCTGGACTGGTGCGGCTCCCTGAGACAGCCTCTGCTCTCAGGCATTCAGTTTCCTTTTCAGGCTGGGCACTGCGAAGGCACGAGATGGAGCAACCGGGTTTCTTCTGTCTTCCCTCTGTGTTCCAGAAAATCTACACCTGCTGTGCTGGGGAGGGCACCAGTGAGTCAGGCAGACCGAACCCCAGAACCACACCCTGAAAGTGCTTTCCAAATGCCAGGCAAAGTTTCATCAGGAGTAAAAACCTTTAAAGGAAGCCCACAGCGCCTTTGGCATATTTCCAGAACTACTTTCAACCTGATCTGTTGCCTTGACTTCAAGCTATGGCTTGATTCAGCCTTCCCGAGTCTGGTGCCCTCCAGATGCTTTGGACTACAAGTCCCAGCATTCCTGCCCACTGGTCAACCTAGCCTGGGCAATGGGAGTTGCAACCCAAAACAGCAGGAAGGCTCCAGGCTGAGGAAAGCAGTCCTGGACCAAAGATAAGCCTTGCATGTTGAGGCCTTCTCAGACTGCAGTTTGGGAATATCAGACTCAGCCCACCAAGAACAAGCACGGGCGATTGCGGAGCACTAGGACCAAGCCAAAATCTCCATAGGTCTCAGCAAAATAATTCTACAATTTTGTATGATACTCTTCACATACAAGTTCAGATTTTTTATATCTGATATTTCGATGCCATTTCAAATTTAATATTTGTTGCCCAATAGTTTTCTATAGTGGCCCTGCAGAGGTATTTATATGAAACAGATTATAATGGATGAGTGGCATGCAACAGTGTGTACCAACAGACAGTCTGAGACCAAAGGCCTGCTGAAACAAAGCTTACCTATGGTATGACATAATTTGCTTTCTGCTCTGGATCAGGAGGTGGGTTCCCTTACTTTGAACCCCATGCTGATGCAGAAAAGGAGTTCTGTTGATCTGGAGCATGCAATTCGGGAAGGCATTCTGTCTGTTGGCAAACCTGACACAGAGCTTCCCACCGGGCTGTACTTCCCATGCCCCTTCCTGTATCTACGACACCGAGGGCAGCACCCACCTTGGCCGAAGGCACGCTGAAATAGGGGCTGGAGCGAGACTGTCAGGAGAAATGCATGGAGCCCAGTGCCCGCCATCGCCTGCCTCTCTGGCCAGGAGAGGGGCAGGGGCAGTCGAGTTCTCCACGGCCTCCCAGGCGAGGCTGTGTGCTGATCCACTCTCTTTGCACAGCAGTCCTCTCCCAGTCTTCTCACCCGGCCCACGGAGAATCAAGTCCCAGGATGCGCGATGGAGGAGATAAAAGGTCTGGTTTCCAACTGGAGCATAAAAAGTAAAAATACTGTCATTGGTACAGTCAAACTATTGGAAGAAGGTTCTACCTCATTATGGGAAAACCAATGTGGGTTAAAAAAGGAAGAAGAGACGCACACAGGCAATGTCACTGGAAACCTGTATCTCAACATGTCTGGCTGGAGGAGGCTGGGAATTGTAGCCCAACATTATCGGGAGGGCACCAGATGGAGAAGCCTGCTCTGTCAGAACGAACACTTATCCTTCCTCCTGGTGTCAAAATGGACTTCTGTCAGATTGACCATCTCTGTTTGTGGTTCCCTGGGTGGCCCTGAACAAGAGTGTGTGTCTGTGTCTGTGTCTGTGTCTGTCTGTCTGTCTGTCTGTCTCTCTCCCCCTCTTCCTGAGTATAGATCTCTCACAGAAGTGTGCTCTACATAACAGGACTTCTTTCTTCACCCTCCAAATTCATCAGATTTTGGAAATCTTAGAAAAATTGTGTCCACTCTAACAAAAATCAGTATACCATTCTCTGCCAAAGTATTGGGCATAGCAAAATGCTTACTCCAAAAGCAAAAAAAAAAAAAAAAAAACATCAGCTCAACTTAAGGCACTATCCTAAGCATATACAGACAGAAGAAAGTCCTACAACTCCCAACACGCATATGATTGTGTCCTTATTTTAAAAAATGGATGCCAGATTTGAGGTAACTAAGCTCTGGGAGGAAAATATGAAGCTTTTACGGATGGAGTGTCAGTTGGAGTTGCAGTCCAGTACATCTGAAGGCCACCACGTGGAGGAACAGCCAGTGGAGACAAATCCTCGGGAATGAGGTGTTTGCTCCATGTGGAATAATTCATTCACTACTGAAATGGTTGCTGGAGTTGGTATACACATTTCATTTTCTGGCTGCACATCTCAGACATCTGAAGAATAAACTTAAAAATGTAATGTGTATTTTCAAATACATGCATCAGGCAGGTGCTCTTGCCTTGGAGTCTGAATTCACTTCTGTTCCTTGTAGAATGAACTCTTTTGGTAACCAACCCAGGTTTCCACCATGCCATGTACAAAAGAAGCCCCAAATTACTGTGCAATTTCTGAGTGCTAGTTGCACCTGCCAACTAGTTTGGGAACTGAAAACCAGTCTAGGCAACCTGGCAAGCACCAGTTAGACCAATTACCTGGGTCATCTGGCTCTTTTCTGATGTTCTTCTAGGGGACAACTCCATTCTCTCCACCTGTACCACATTCTCCACCGATTCTTCCTATCCCTACTCCGCAAACACACGTGCCCCTGCTCTTTATAATACCTTGAATGAGGAAGATACTTGAAGAGCTCAAAAGCTTGTGCATTTTTGTGAGCTTTGATTTGGCCTAATAAAGGTGTTACACTAATCTGATATGTTTTGGGGCCCTTTCTTATAGCAAACATGGCTAACTCTGCTTTATGTCCCTAACAGTAAGTACAAGTAGAAGTGAGGGAGAGACAACCTGAATGGACCATCTTAGCACATGGACAGGAAAGAAACAAGCTATTTCACAATTCTATGACTGAATTGAGACAAGACTCGAGCATGGATTATGGGCTGAGAGTGGGGTGCTGTTGAATCATGGATTGCTGTTGAAATGTAGGTTATTGTGTTGTCTTAACCAACCAACAAAGATAACAACCATGGTGAACACATTCACAATCCAACAACCGTGGTTCAGAAGCCACAGCTTCTCAGAGTAGCTGAGTTTAGTCAGCAGAATAACCTATATTTCAACAACAACCCACAGTTTAATAACAATCAAGCAAACCTTTGAGTGTGGGCTGAGTGTGAGTCTGTACTGTATTTGTATTACTCAGAAGTTATCCTTACTAAGTTCAATCAGATTTACCCCCAGGTATGTGAACATAGGAATGCATTATTACAGTGCAAAGTTTGTAAATAGGGATATATATGGATTGTGTTAACTATGTTCTGACTGTACTTCACAGATTGTCAAGCATCTTTCATGTCATCATCCACTCACTGACAGAATTGATTTTTTTAAAGAATGTTGCTCCACTTGTGTTAGAGAACATCAGAGTAAGCATACACGAGTACTAAAGTTCATTGGCACTGATGTGCATTGTTGTAAATTCCCCATTTTTAAAAAGTCTGCTAGTCCAGGGAATTCATGCATCTTGAAAAAAGCTGGTCCACTGTGCATTCCGCAGGTGAGAGTCATAGCAATCCAAACTTGTTTGAACACACTGTGGATTTTTCCAACATCCCTATTTGTACACATCTGGTTTTAGCACATGTATTAGTGTGTACATACATGTACAGGCCAAACTGAAATCAGACAAATGGTGTGGGTAGCAATGTGAAAAGAACTTTCTCCAATGGAGCTTAGGCACCATGCCATCAGGAGGTTTGCAGAGAACCCAGCGGGTGGCCATGCAATGTGGCCTTAGCTAGAAGGAAGGAATGAGTTGTCCATTAGCAAAGTCAGCAGCTCAGTGGGAAAGCCTCTTCCCCAAGAAGCCTGGTCTGCATGATTTTCCTGGACAAAGGGATCTAAATCTCTGGAAAATTACAGATCAGAATCCTCCAGATGGAAACAGCAGCTTCTAACTGGCTTCTCCTCCAAACCACCCATAGGAGCACCCTAACATTCTACATAAGGTGAGGTTACTGAGGAAATCCGGGGTTACTGAGGCACACTCACCCCACAGCCTTCTGCAGATGGTGGCAGTGGGCTCAGGGCCCTCTCATTCAAGCACGGAGAGCAGCATAAATGGAAAAGATGAGTATTTCTCACGTGAAAAACTCTCCTGCTTTATTGCAGACCTTCAGTGCCCCTGCTCAGCTGTTACCCCAGTCACGAATAAGGATTTAACCTTGGCCTTCAACATAACCACTTCTCCATTTCCTCTCTACCCTCCCTACTTGGAAATCTATTAGAACTGTCCTGCTTTACAGGGCTGTTGTAAGGTTCCGAAAGTAATGCGAGCTAAGCACTGACAATATGGAATTCGAAAAGCTCTATGCAAATGCTACCGTTTCAGAATTTAGGATACCATGCGGGGAGTCTTCATCAGCCATGGATATATATGGACAGCCCAGGGTTGGGGCTTCATGTCATCAAGGTTTTGTCCTGGAAAGGCAAGGATCAGGCCAGCCCTGCCACTGGACAGAGTAAGGCAGCTGCCTCAATGGGAACAGCAGCACGGCCCAGGAGGGTGCAGCTGTATATGCCCCGCGGCCTGTCCCCACAGAAGCACTGCGGAGCACAATCCTGTCCTCAGAGCCAATCCATGTTGCAGATTACACTTTGCCTCAGGAGCAAAATCCCTTACCTCCCGCCCACCAGCAGCCACTTGCCCCTGGGCAGCTGGCTCAGTTCATGCAGACGCCAATCCATAACCCCAAGCCAAGGGCATCGAAAGACCACTGTATTCACACTCACAATGGCGGCAATACCACTGGGGCAACACATGAAGTGACCCTCGTGTGGATTCGACCCTCTGGACAAGACACAGAAGGGCACTGTGTGGAATCGGATCACAGAAGAAGAATCTTAAGTCCCTCTACTGTATGCACCATTTTTCTGAACTAATTTTTATCAGATCCATGGATTATGGAGGCTGAAGAGAGAATTTGTAATGTGAAGCAGCATCGCCACCAATGTTGCAAGATCAACTTGACCCAGTCAAGGCAGAATCCTGCTGGCATCCACTCCTTGTATAAGCTTTCTGCCAAAATACCCCAAACTACAAGCAAAGACTGCAGAGCTCCTGGAAAAAAGCCTGTAGGGATTTGCCACAGACTCACTCCAGGCATGGAGACAAGAAAACCATGGGGGGTCCATGCAGCAGCAGAAAGCCAGCATAAAACCACAGCAAATAAATGTAGCACTGCCCAGTGGTGAAGCCCCCAAAAGAGGAGGGAAGCTGTGCCCCTGACGCAGAGGGGAGAACCAGGGAGCTTCTCAGGGGTTGGCTCTTTGCTCCCAACTCCCATCGTTCCTAACCAGAACTGGCTTTTGGGATCGGCACCATTCACCAACCCACAACTAATCTGAGGGCAACATTCAGGCCCAACCAGTAACCCACAGCCTGCTCCTAAAAACCATCTGCTCCATCGCCCCCGCCTCCCATCTGCTGGGCAGATTCAAGAACAGCCACATGAGAGGAGCCCGGAAGGGAGGCCAGAGCGGTCCAGGATTTCCCTGCTGTGCAATCCCAGAGCTTTGTGGCAAGCCGCAGCAGCACGATGCATCAGCACACAGCGTAAGAAGAAAATCTTTGCCAGCTCCGTATTTCTCTGGAGCTGCAGCACAACTGGTTTTCCCTTCAGGGAGGGATCTGTTCTCTGGGAGCCAGTGCGGTGTGCTAGTGAGTGCTGAACAGGGGAACCAGGGAGATGCAGGTCCTAGCCCTTACTTAGCCATACTTCTAGTTCTTACTTGTAAGCCTCCTTGTAAGAGGAAGGAAGGGCAGGTATAAATGCAATGCAATAACAACATGTTGTAACTGAAGCCCAACAAATTCAGGACCATGCAGGAATCACTGTGCATGCAAAAATTAGGGCCTTCTAACACTTTATACCATGAGTCCTCAAACTACGGGCTGTGGGCTGGATCCGGCCTGCCGTGCCCATTTATCTGGCCCGCCATAGAGGTTTTGGACTCGTTGCATGCATGCGCACACACATGGCGAGACGGCCGCTTGCTCGTGCGGAGATCGTTTCGGATTCGCTCGGAGAAAACAATCTCCGTACACGCGCCCCTGCTTGGCCGCACCCACACACGCGTCCGTGTATCTCCACACTGGCCCGCGCCCCCCACCCGCACCGCCTTGGCGGCCCGCACCCATCGCCGGCACCTTTCAACGGCCCCGCTGAAAAATTTTGAGGACCCCTGCCTTACACGGTTAGATTTGACTTGCAAAAAGGGTGTAGGGGGACTGACAGAGAAGGAATGGAGAACTGAGGAAGGGGCTTCTCCAGTAGCCCATCCAGATTTCTGTGCTAGGCAGAATGGGGAGATGGG